GAAAGGGGCGAAAACAGTTAGTGATTGATGTTCAATTTTCTTCAGAGCTGAAAATCACAACAAGAGAGATTTTTGCACCTTGCGAATTCTCTCTTGCTGCCTCCTTCCTGCCGCCGCCATCACCTTCAGTTCGATCTCCAGTTCTTGGGAGAAATCAAGATCTGATCTTGATTTCAATCTTTTGGGAAAATATTGGTTGGAGCTGTGCTCACAAGGCGTCCAATTGATTTTTGCGAAGGGTCAAGTTCTTTTGGAAGAACATTACTGATTCTGTTCCATCCTGCACTGTGCCATCTTCAGTGGGAGCAGATTTTGGATCATTCCTTGGGCGTGAACACTTCCATTGGAAGATATTGCTTCTCTGTATCAAGTTCATCCTCCTTCCTACTCCTTTTGGTTCAGATCTGGTTTGGTTCTTGATTCAAGATTCAAGATTGATAATTGAAAAACATGTTTTTCTAAAATAGGGAATTCGATTCCCTGCAAAGATGGGAGAAATTTTTGAAATTCGCTCAATCCATTCCGCAATACTTGGGCGCCCATGTGATGGATATCCCATCCCTTCACAAAGGAATGCTTGGGGATCCTTCTCTGATAAGTCTTTAAGATAGCAAGCATAAGAGACCCCAGGAGGTGATGGTTCTGGAATGACATGGCCTTGCTTGAACCACTCCAAATCTTTAGCCAATTTCTCTRACCTTTCCAAACCAGTATTTCTAAACTCAGCATCTACAACCAAGCATTGAGAAGATTGATTTTTGCTTAAAATCACTAAATAGAAAGACTAATAAACAAAATTCACAAACATTTAGRTTTAATCTATTTCTAGAACTAGGAACTAGAATGCCTCCTTACTGTTAAGATTAATTCCATGCATGCACTAGGCATCATCATTCACCCAGGCTTGACCTGCACAGCAAGATGCAACTCCTGTGTGGAATTTTGACTGTTGGAGATAATGTTCATTTCTAAATTTTTTGAGGGACATAGTTCACCTAGTAAAACCTAATTTCCTTATCGCCCCTCTAGATCTATCCAACCACAACCACCTATTTCACAGTTCTCCTGAGATCAATATGCTTCACAATGACACAATCTGAGAAAATCTTCATGAAACCAATTCAGGAATAGCTTAATTTGGAACTTGCTTCCAAAACTGGTCCATGTCACTTGAGTTTTCAATAATTAACCATGATCCAGATCATAAAATCAAAATGAGTATTTGGCAAAGGTCCAAATTTAAACGTTTAGTTATACATTCAGAGAAAAATCTTTGATGTGCAGCTACCAACTTTTGCATACAAGTTCAAAAACTGAAAAAAAAAAAAACCTTCATCATGGTGTACCTTTATTGACTGCATATCTATTTAAACATTAAGAAGATATTCTATTTCTAAATCATTCAGAAACAATGAAAAGCTCATCAAATTGACCTCAAAACTACATCTATTTAAGTAACACCCATTATATAACAAATGTCTCATGCTATTGAAGAGGTTGAATCTTTTCAGAACAACCTATAAACTCCCAAGTTGAATTTCATTTTCACTGTTTTCTTCAAATATCCCTACCGGTTAGATTGCAAAATTGTAATTTATGTTTTCTAACGTCTTCCGAATATTAAATTCCCAAGAAAAAGTTCAAACTTGGTAGAGCTCAATTGATGGCCAATAGATTCTCAAAGTGATCATCAACATATCAAGTTATACTATACACAAGAAGTGAAACAGTGAGGGAATGGCCGTTCCCTCCCCTCCCTCCCTTGGGAATGAAATCCCATTCCTGTTGATTTAAATTCCCATTCCCATTCCTGTCTGAACCACACAAACTATGGGAATTGACCATTTTGGTTCCAGTTCCGGAGGATTTCGATTATGATTCCATTAACGGTTGCAAACCAAACGGACCCTTAATCAATTGGAAGGTGTATGTACTTCAAAATCTGTTTGGTAAACTGCAGGAGGTGTGACTAAAATTTGGCCCCATGAGATCGCGGTGAAGAAATAGCTCGAGCAGTTCTGAATCATTTCTGTCCATTAAAGCAAAGATAATAGCTCGAGCAGCATCTTCAATGCATGACGCAACAGAAATAAAGCCCAATGAGATCGTGGTGAAGAAAATCACATCAACTGAAGATTTTGCATCTCCCAGAATTGGAGATGATTTTCTTCTTATCTGTTAATAAAATAAAGTAAGCTTCAAATGGAACTGCATATGTAATTCATTAAAATTGTAAAAAACAATAAACACTTCAACATATGTTCTGATACATTATCATAACGAGCAAAAGCTTACTATCAACTGAAGATTTTGCATCTCCCAGAATTGGAGATGATTTCCTTCTTATCTGTTAATAAAATAAAGTAAGCTTCAAATGGAACTGCATATGTAATTCATTAAAATTGTAAAAAACAATAAACACTAAAACATATGTTCTGATACATTACCATAACGAGCAAAAGCCTACTAAATAGAGCATGCGTAACCATTCAATTAGTTTTGAGTCGCAAAAACTTCAATAACAAATAATATTCTTGGCGGAAAGGTGTTTAGTAGATGTACAGCAAAATCCCCTAGAATCATATTCCAACCCATTTGTGATAAAGAATTGGCCTAACAGTTTGTTAATCTGCTTCTAATAGTTTAGGAACCAGGCCTTGAAAACGCTTTTATGAAACAAAATGTCACTCTAAGGGTGAAAACTGAGATACTTCCCCTGCTATTCTGGCTGTACGTCCCTCTTTTTTTGTAGGTTTGTACACCTTAGATTCCAGTCAAGACCTTCATTGAGTGCCTCAGAAAT